GCTGAAATCGCGTTTGGTGTGAACGCACCATAAAAGATATGAAGGAAAAAAAGTGGTTATCAGTGAAAGTTAATTTTTTAGACCAAGCAGAGGGAAATGTGTGCTCTCAGAGCATAAGCAAACTGTTACATTAGCAAGATGGATTTAAGACTTAATGATGTCCACGTCTTTTTTTTAACATCTCTGTGGGTTACAATACATAAAAAACAAGTTTTTCTCTGACAACCTGGGTGTGAAAAAACTTCGGTTGTTTAAGCTTCGCTCGGTGTGACGTGCAGAGGGAGGGAGGAAARGATCCCGCATCACAACGTAACTTTTCTACAGRGGGAGAGGGAAACTGAGGATTCATTCTCTCCCTTTCTACACCTTCTCTTTTTTACCAACTCCTCCTGCTCAGTTGTCTCTGCACTTGCAGCCACGTTGACACAGGTGCGATGACGTAACCGACAATAGGACAGTAGAGAGTAAATTTTTACCGTAGGCCAACTTCATATCGTTTCTACCATCACATATACCGCACAGGCCTAGGCAGGGTGATGATGCTGGAACTTTTGTTTGGTGCCGTTTCAGTGAGATTTATAAAGATGACTGCCTGAAGAGAACAACCAAATTTCCACAGTCGATGATGATGTGGGGCTGCACGTCAGGCAAAGGCACTGGGGAGATGGCTATCATTACATCTTCTATCAATGCACAAGTTTATGTTGAAATTTTGGACACATTTCTTTTCCTATCAATTGAAAGGATGTTTGGGGATGATGAAATCATTTTTCAAGATGATAATGCTTCCTTCCATAGAGCAAACACTGAAAACATTCCTTGAAAAAAGACACAGAAGGTCAATGTCATGGGCTGCAAATAGTCCAGATCTCAATCCAACAGAAAATCTTTGGTGGAAGAAGAAACTGCTCCATGACAATACTCCAACCTGAAAAGCTGATCTGGCCAACAGCAATCAGAGAAAGTTGGAGCCAGATTGATGAAGAATACTGTTTGTCYCTCATTAAGTCCATGCCTCAAGATACTGCAAGCTGTTAGAAAAGCCAGAGGTGGTGCAACTAAATACTACTCATGTGTTAGAGTGTTGGTTTGTTTTTCATGATTCCATCGTGATTCCATAAATTTTCCCTCTGCTTGGCCAAAAAAGTAACTGTTACTAACACATATTTTTCTTGATTTGTTTTAGRTTCTTAAAGCCAGAAAGTTGCCATTAGAAATGACTTTAYTTTTGTGTCATGTCTGTGATGATCTGCTTTTTTTCTACAAAATTAAACTACTGAATGAACATCCTCTGAGGCCGCTGATTCCATCATTTTTGACAGGATGCAGCTAAAGATGATATAAAAAAAACAAGTTGTTTCCTATAAATACATTCAGGACAAAGCAGGGCAGAAGTCTGTTCACAAAGCTGTGAAGTCTTTTAAATATTCAAACAAGAAAATTTGAATAAATCACCAACCTGGACGGGGAACAGGCTGCAGCGCCGGGGTCTGGGCCTTTCGAGCAGACGCTCCTTCCTTTAAAAGACAAAATACTCATGTTTCATATACAAACAAATAAATATCTGTTTTTGACAAAYGCAAGTAGCAGCAGAGATTCAGAGAGGAAAATAAAAACATAAATACAAGAAAATGGATTATCTTTTATTTAAAAGGTTGTAGCTTTTGCTAGGAGTCAAAACAAACATAAAATGTTGTGAATTCATCAGTG